GGAGCATCACACACCGCGGGGCCTGTTGGGGAGTGGGCGCTAGGGGAGGGATAGCAGGGGGTGGGAGGATGGGAGGGGGAGAGCATTAGGAGAAGTACCTAATGTAGATGACGGGGGGATGGGTGCAGCAAACCACCGCGGCACGTGTAGACCTGTGTAACACAGCTGCAGGCTCTGTACACGCATCTCACAACTTAAAGCGTTTCAGTGCAGTCTGAGCATGTCTCTTATCAGGTATAAAGGAGAACATATGTGTTGAGGGCCACTTGAGTCTGTTCTGTATATAAACTGATATTTTCGCCCTTTTCTCTGTAGCATATTTGGGGTTTGCCTGGAGCTGAACTTTTTAGTTATCTGAAAACCAGGTGTTAATATTTCTGACAGAAGTTGCAGATTTTCTCCGAGCTCATGATTTGTTTTACTCTCTGGTTATGGAGATTTGTTTTGTTTTTTTACCATGTATTTGTTTTTTTTTTTTTCTTTTTTAGCGTCTTGTTCTGTCACTTAGGCTGGAGTGCAGTGGCACGGTCTTGGCTCACCACAGCCTCCATTTCTTGAACTCAAGTGATCCTCCCATCTCAGCCGCCCAACTTGCTGGGACTACAGGCACACACCACCACGCCTGGTGAATTAAAAATTTTTTTTTGTAGACTCGAGGTCTGTCAGTGAGTTCAGGCTGGTCTTGAGCTTCTGGCCTCAAGTGATCCTCCCACATCAGCCTCCCAAAGTGCTGGGATTATAGGTGTGAGCCACTGCCCCTGGCCTGTTTTTTTATCATGTGATTTTTTTTTTTTTTTAAATGGTGAAATTTCTCTAACGATCTTTCTGATTTTTGGCTTCGGAAGTCCTTTCCTTCCTGCGGAGGTTAAAGTCTTCATGCCTTCCTGTACTGTTCTCATGGTTTAACGTTATCTTGGCCTTGGAGCTCATTGTGAAGCGCTGTGAGGTCTGGATCTAATTTTATCTCTTTGCTGATGTGCCTTCAGGTCGCCTGACACCACTTATTAAAGCGCCCATCTTTGCCGTTTTTGTCATATAGTAAATTTCCACATGCAGTTGGCTTATTTCTGGAAATTCTACCCTGTCCCTTGCTCTGTTAACGCCTTCAGCACCTCCCATCTAATTACAGAGGCTTTTGCACATGTTTTAAGGGCTGGTGAGTTCTCAGCCTTTGTATGTGTCAGAATGTTCCTCTTTGCCTCCCCATTGGGAAGTCTTTTTCCTATAGGAATGTTAGAATTGATTTGTCCAGTTTGCATAAAAGAAATTCTGTGAGCCATTTTTATTGGATCATATCAAATTTGCCTTTTGACTTGGGTGATTCGGAGGCTCTAAGGGTTGTTATCAGTTTAGATGTTTTTATCAGCCCTCTAACTCATATTTTAGATTCGGGGGTAGATATGCAGGTTTGTGCCCTGGGTACCTTGCGTGACGCTGAGGTGTGCAGTGCGAAGGATCCCGTCACCCAGGGAGTGCGCATAGTGCCTGATAGCTTTCCAGCCCTCGGCCCATCCCTTCGTCACCCGCCATATTTCTCAGTGTATGTGGTTCCCATCTTTATGTCCATGTGTCCTTGATGTTTAGCTCCCAGTAATAAGTGAGAACATGCGGCATTTAGTTTCCTGGTTCTGTGTTAATTCGTGTAGGATAATGCTCTCCACGTACATCTATATGGCTGCAAAGCACATGATCCCATCCTTTTTAATGGCTGCGTAGTATTCCATGGTATAGATTCACCACATTTTCCTCTATCATTTGACCCAGGATTGCCATTACTGAGTATATTCTCAAGGGAAATAAGTCATTCTACCAAAAAGACATATGCCCTGTGTGTTCATCGCGGCACGATTCAGAGTAGCAAAGACACACAGTCAAACCAGGCGTCTGTCAGCTCTGCATTGGACAAAGTTTGGGTCTTTTGTTTTTGTTTTGAGACAGTCTCGCTCTGTCACCCAGGCTGGAGTGCAGTGGCGTGATCACAGCTCACTGCAGCCTCAACCTCCCAGGCTCATGTGACCCTCTGAACTCAGCCTCCTGGGTAGCTGGGATGACAGCTGTGTGCCACCGTGCCTGGCTCATTTTTTTTTTTTTGTACCTTATTTTGTTTCGTAGAAATAGGGCTTCACCATTTGGCCCAGACTGGTCTTGAACTCCTGGGCTCAAGCGATCTGCCTACCTTGGGCTTCCAAAGTGCTGGGATTACAGGCATGAGCCACTGTGCCTGATCAGTTTGGGTCTTTTGAGAAACACACAGCAAGAAGGAAGGGGACGTGCCAGAGATTTACTAGGGAAACTGTGTGTGAAGGGCCAACGAGACGGAGGCAGAAGACAGTGGGGAAGGCTTTCCGATTACAGTGTAGGCTCCTCATACCCATGAAAAGAGAGGGCGTCCCGCCTGCTCTCTGATCATGCTGAGTCCTGACTGGGAAGTCCCAAGGAAGCGCAACGTTGCAACACGTTGTCCCTCCGCAGAACCTCCGAGTGGGTGGCGTCAGGTGACTGTGGCAACCTGCAGTCTGTGTGTGTGTGTGTGTGCCTCTGTGTCTGTGTGTCTGTGTGCGCACGTACATATTTCTCAGCCCCAGTGCCTGCTTCCTGGCCAATTAAAAAAAAAATACTGAACTCTTGTAGCTGGACTTAGAAATGCAGCAAGGATCCATGCTGCTCTCCATGATGCTCTTATTTATTTATTTATTTATTTAGAGATGAAGTTTCACTCTTGTTGCCCAGGCTGGAGTGCAGTGGCACAATCTCGGCTCACAGCAGCCTCAGTCTCCCGGGTTCAAGCGATGCTCCTGCCTCCACCTCCCAAGTAGCAGGGATGACAGGCGCCTGCCACCACGCCTGGCTAATTTTTGTACTTTTAGTAGAGATGGGGTTTCTCCCCGTTGGTCAGGCTGGACTTGAACTCCCGACCCTAGGTGATCCACCTGCCTCGGCCTCCCAAAGTGCTGGGATGACAGGCGTGAGCCACCGTGCCCGGCTGCTTTTTGTTAGTGTGTGTGTTTGAGCTGGATTCTCACTACCTTGCCCAGGCTGCAGTGCAGTGGCACGATCGCAGCTCACTGCATGTTTTCAGAACCCACAGACACCTCAAGGGCACCGCCATGGTGCCATGACATTCTCACCAAGACCAAGGGTGTCTTTCCATTGGCTCAGCTCTACTTCTGTGTCTTTATAGAGGGGCTTGTTTCCTGAGACAGGTTTTTCATGCTCTCGATTACTGAGTCTCATTTTCTGTTCCCGTTGTTCCTATATTACAAGGAGGACTGTCTCTTCTCATGCCTTTTTCTGCTGTCTGTTGTTTTTGTATTTATGGAAGCTGCTGATATTTGCCTCTGAATTCCCTGTCTGGCTACCTTCGGGAATTCTCTTCCTGGATTTGTTTACTGCTGATTTTCTTAGGTGTTTCCAGGCGTACCGTCATGTCATCCGCAAAACATATTTCCACTCTCCGTCCGCAGCTCTCGTGCCTGCTGTAGTTATCTGACCACATTGGCTAGTTCTCCAACAAGTTAAATGGCAGAGTGCACTCTGTAACCCCAGCTCTCTGGGAGGCCAAGGCGGGAGGATCACGTGAGCCTTGCGGATTAAGGCTGGTTTTGGCAACACAGCAAGGCCCCGTTTTTTAACAAAATCAAAATAGTAAAAAATTGCCGGCGTGTGGTGGCTCACACCTGTCGTGCCAGCTACTTGTGGGGGTGAGGAGGAAGGATCGCTCGAGCCCCGGAGGTTGAGTCTGCCTGCAGTGAGCCGTGAGCTTTCTTCAAAGCTTATTCATAACTGGAAGGTGTGAGATCTGGAAAGTTCTAGATGATCGCCAAGCACATCTGTGTATTTAGAGTGGATGGTGTTCCATCCAGGAGACCCAAAGCTCCTTGAGGCAGAGAAGGTGTTTATGGTGACCTGATTTGTTTCCCTGTATGCTGGGCACAGAGTGTGGGTGGCGTGACACATATTTTATAAAACAGTAAGAGAAGGTTGAAAGATGGACGGAAGGAGGAAGGAAGGGAAGAGTGGAAGAAAGAAGGAAAGAGTGAGAGAAGGGAATGAAGGAAGGAAAAAGTGAAAGGAAGTAGTAAAGATGGAGGAAAGAGGGAGGGAAGAGAGGAGAGAAAGGAGTGAAATCAAGAGGAGAGGAACGAAAGAGGGAGGGAAGGGCTGCAGGAAGAAAGGAAAAACGGAAGGAAGAAGGAAAGAAGGAAAGAGAGAGAAGGAATGGAGGACGAATGGAAGGAAGGAAGGCAGAGACACAGCCCCTCAAATGCGGATCACGTACCCGAACCAGACATTCAAGCGCGGTCTCTCTGCACCTGCGGTATCTGCAGCTCTGAAGCCACCTGTGGGAACCGGGTCTTTGACGTTCGGTGTTCTGGTGCTGGACCTGCCAGGCCTTGTCAACCCTAGGGAGACTGGCCCTCCCAAAACCAGTGAACCCCCGACCCGCTTATGAGCCTGTCTTTCATATGCAAACCCAGCAATCCGGAACCCACACCCCGGCTGTCTTCTCTCCGGGGGCTGCGTGCTCCGCGTCACTCTGCAGCTGCCCTCGGCAGCCACTTTCTCCACAGCGGTGTTGTCCTCTGTGGGGTCCACCCTATGGAAATCAGGAGCAAGTCTACATTCTAAAACACAAATGAACAAACGTGTCCTGCTCAGGGCTGCCCTGAGAGCAGAGGTTATGTCAGGATTAGCGTATCCGTTCCATCCACCTCTCTGCAGCTCACATTCACAGCGTCTTCCAGAACCTGCCAGGGACTCCCAGGGACTGACAGGGACTTTAGGAGGTGGTGTTTTCTTCTGCACTGTCATTACTCGGGGCTAATCCAGCTTAATACATTCATGCATCCGCAGCCTGTGGGAATTCAGGGGAAACAGGAACAGAAATAATGGAACTCTCACTCCCTTTGGCGTCGTGGGTCTCTGGAGGCTGAATTCTTACAAATATGTGCTTTGCTTTTAAATCTTACTTGGACCATTTTTTTCTTCTTCTCGTTCAGTTTTCACCCCACAACCCGACCGTGTCGCTATAGTGACGGGCGGGACGGATGGCATCGGCTACTCCACGGCGAAGCGTCTGGCGAGACTCGGCATGCATGTGATCATAGGTGAGGACTTTCACAGTTAATTGTGGTTTTTTTCTTTGTTCGGTTGTTTTCTGAGACAGGGTCTCACTCTGTCACCCAGGCTGGGCTGCAGCCGGGCGACCTCACCTCACTGCACCCTCTGCCTCCTGGGTTCAAGCAATTCTCCCATTGCAGCCTCCTGAGTAGCTGGATTTACAGACATGCACCACCCCGCCTGGCTAATTGTTGTATTTTTCGTAGAGACGGCGTTTCGGTGTGCTGGCCAGGCTGCTCTTGAACTCCTGAGCTCAAGCCATCTGCCTGCCTCGGCCTCCCAAAGTGCTGGGATGACAGGTGTGAGCCGCCACGCCTGGGAGGTAGCTCTCAGTTGTTCCTCTAGAGATGTATGCAAACGTTCATTTACAGACAGCAGTTCAGATCTGGGAAACTCGTCAGCGTGATATTGAAACCCTGGAAAACACAGGCAGGGGTAGTGCCCTCTTGGGAACAGATGCATGCTCTGCTTCTATATTGATGCTGGGTCGTTTTCACATGATTTACTGGGAAAAAAATCACGGCATATCTTCATTAGCTTCGGGGGGGGGCGGGGGGCTCTACCGAAGTATCTCAAGGAGATTGGAGGTTGTTTAAAACGCCAAAATTTATCTTCCATGATTCCAGAGGTTGAATTCACAGTGTGGGCGGGGCTCTCTCCTCCTTAGGCCTCGCCGCTGGGCCAGGAGGCGCGTCGTCCCCCCGCGTCCTCACGGGGCCGTCCCTCTGTGCATGTCGGTGTCCTCAGCTGCGCTTCTTAGAAGGGCCCCAGTTCGGTTAGATCAGGGCCCAGCTCGTGACCTCATCTCACCTCGGTCACCACTTGACACACCCTGTTTCCAAACACAGTCACATTCTGAGGTCCTGGGGTGAAGGACTTCAATTTGAGAATTTTGTTCAAACACAAGCTCGTAACAGAATCGGAACGCTCTTGTGGCATTCCTGCTTTCTCCGAACCCGAGCCCTGTAGATACTCAGTCTTTGATTTCTGCTCCTCTTTCTGAACATCTCTCTAAAAGCTCTGCGTGATCCCTGACTCCTCCTTAAGCGCGAGCTCTTCGGGTCTTCCTTCGACTGGGCACATGAGAACAGCCGAGACGGTCCGTTCTCCGATGCTCAGCGTTCTGGTCAGTTGCACAGCTGGGGAGGTTTCACTGAGCTAGCTTTAAAGCAGGAGGGGCAGCGACCGGACGTCTCCAACACCGAGCTGAGGAAGGAAGTGGCTTTTGATTCCGCCGGGAGCTGGGGGAGGGCTACAGCCTCCTTCACCGAGCTTCCCGAGAAGGAACGTGTTTCCCCGTTTATAGGCTCACAACGCTGAAGGGGAAACTGAGGCAAAACTATATCGTTGTCCATTGGCTGGACGTCAGACCGCACAATCTTTTGGCTTCATTGACTTGCTAGTTTATACGCGGCGTGACTGGGACCAGGCAGGGAAGGGGCTTCCAGAGTCACCCCAAAAGCAGTATAAGATGAGCTGGCAGAGCGGGTGTGGGCCGTGCAGACGTGCAGGACGGGACCCAGCGCCGGGCTCCGGCTGGTAGCAACTCTTTCAAGGCTTATGGATAGCAGAGGTGCTGAGAACCGAAAAGCCAGTCCTCCTCTCAGTCCCTGGGCCTCTTCGTGGCCTGGTCAGTGGCGTCAGCAAGTCCCCTGACCACGGATTCAAGCTCTTCGGTATTTTACTTCTTTTTCAGCCTCTTTCCCATCCGGAGTGGAGGGGAGGGAGGAGGTGGAGACCCGGACGCTGGAGGATGCGAGGGGGTCTCCCCCTAAATGACGTGTGGAAATGTCCTTTGATACGTAAAATCTATGATGTGTTTTATGCCCACTCTTGACACCATCTGCATTTCATTCATGCATGCATTCATTCATTCATTCATTTCAGACAGGATGCTGCTGCATCAGCCCAGACTGCACTGCAGTGATATAATCATAGCTCCCGGCAACCTCACACTCCTGGGCTCAAGCAATCCTCCTGCCCCAGCCTCACGAGCAGCTGCTGCTACAGGCACACACCGCCATGCTAAGCTCATTTTATTTATTTATTATTATTATTTCCTTGAGACAGTCTTGCTCCGTCACCCAGGCTGAAGTGCAATGGTGTGATCTCGGCTTGCTGCGACGTCTCACTCTCGGGTTCAAGCAACTCATGCCTCAGCCTACCGAGTAGCTGGGATTACAGGCGTGCACCACCATGCCCGGCTTATTTTTGGATTTTTAGTAGAGACGAGTTTTCGCCCTTTTGGCCAGGCTGGTGTTGCACTACTGACCTCAGGTGATCCACCCGCCTCAGCCTCCCAAAGTGCTGGGATTACAGGCATGAGCCACCGTGCCTGGCCTCAGCTATTAAATAAAAATTATTTTGGTGGCTGGACATGGTGACTCACGCCCTTAATACTACCACTTTGAGAAGTCAAGACAGGTGGATTACTTGAGGTTAGGGGTTCAAGACCAGGCTGGCCAACGTGGTGAAGCCCCAACTTTACTAAAAATGCAAAAGTTATCGAGGCTTGGTGGTGGGTGCCTGTAATCCCAGCTCCTTGGGAGGCTGAGGTGGGAGAAGTCACTAAAGTCGAGAGGCAGAGGTTGCAGTGAGCCACGATCACACCTCTGCAGTCCAACCTGGGTGACAGAGTGAGACTCCCTCTCAAAAAACAAACAAAAACCAAAACAAAAAATGAAACAATGGTTTTGGAGATACCGGGGTTTCACTATGTTGCCCAGGCTTGTCTTGAACTCCTGGGTTGAAGTGATCCTCCCACCTTGGCCTCCCAAAGTGCTGGGATTACAAGCGTGAGCTACTATGCCTGGCCACCCTTTGCTTTTAATGATAACTTTTATGGTGTCTGCTTTTATAAACATCATACTGTAGGGCTGGTTTTATTTATTTATTTTTTGGAGATGGAGTCTCGCTCTGTCACCCAGCCTGGAGTATAGTGCTGTGATCTCAGCTCACTGCAACCATCTTACGATCTGACCTCTCTGGTCAAAGACATTTGAAAAAATGACCACAAAAGAAAACCACACTCCCCTGTTCAATGCATTTTCACTTTCTATGCCATTAAAGAAACCAGGCTGAGTGTGGTGGCTCACACCTGTCATCCTAGCACTTTGGGAGGCAGAGGTGGGTGGATCACCTGAGGTCAGGAGTTCAAGACCAGCCTGGGCAACATAGTGAAACCCGGTCTCTACTAAAAACAGCCCTCCCTCTCTCTCCCTCTCCCTCCCTCATATATGTATATATATATATATATATATGTGTATTTATATTTATATAAATATGTAAATATATAAAAATATGTGTATATATACATATATTTAAATATATGTGTATATATATGTATATACAGATATAATTATATAAATATATATAATTAAATATGTATATATACATATGCATATATACATTTAGAATGTTATATATATTACATATTATAAATATATATTATATATATTTTATTACATATATTAAAGACATACATTTATATATTATACACACACACACAGAGACACAGACACACACACACACACACACATAAAAAATTAGCCAGGCATAGCGGTTGGGCACCTTAATCCCAGGTACTCAGGAGGCTGTGGCAGGAGAATCACTTGAACTGGGGAGGCGGACGCTGCAGTGGGCTGAGATCACGCCACTGCACTCCAGCCTGGGTGATAGAGTGAGACTCTATCCAAAAAAAAAAAACCACACACAAAAAGGCTAATTGATGTTGTTTCACTCCAGATTTCCGGGTCTTTATTTGAGGTGTAACATACCTTCTAGGCAAAACGCCCGTTTGCATCCACCTAAAGGCGTGTTCCTGAAACCGCAGCTGCAGAATGTCACGGTGCTGCGGAGAGGGGAATGAGCAATCAGTAGCGCGAAGTAGGAGCCGTGGCCTGTGGTCACGTTTGTGGCACAGTCTGCCGGTGTACACAGGGGTGTTCCCAGAGCCAAAGCCCCCTCGGAAATGCTGTTTCCATCCTGACGTTTTAATGCACATTTTAATGCTTAGCGTTCTTCTTGGTTCTCACGTGCAAATTATGACAGCAGGGGTCCTGCGTCACTGTCATTATTTAAAAGTGGAATGTCAAGTGCATTTGCACTTTTTGCCCATGCAGGCTTTAAAAAATGGGTCTTCAACGGATAGCTTTATTCTGGCAAAATGCCTGTCACATTAAACGCTAGGGCAAAGGGAAAACCCATCGAAGACACATTTCACAACGGTGTTATACCTCCTTCAAAAACCTCTCTCTTTTTTTTTTTTTTTTTCAGTTAATAGTTTGGGATGACTCCACAAGTCACCATACCTTTTCCGTTTTTCCCTTTTAGCTGGAAATAATGACGGCAAAGCCGAGGAAGTCGTAAGAAAAATAAAAGAAGAAACGCTGAACGTCAAAGGTATCGGGAGATGCCGCAGCGGGTTTTTCTCTTGGGACGGGTGGTTTGAGCGGTTCATGGCCGATTTTGTATCGTGTGCCAGGCGGCCTTCGGGAGAGATGTCTCAGCTTTTCGCACTCCTGTTTTGGGGATTTCTAGTCCCATCGTACAGAAGGAAATGGTAAAGGCAAAGCGAGCATGGCATCGCCCAGCTCCGACGCCTGCTAGGGAAGCGCCCTGGGATGTGCTGGGGGCCTGCACGCATACTCAGGTGTGTGCTGCACGCGGAGCACGGAGCACGAGCCATGTGACTTTCTCGTTGGCCTCAGGCCACCTGCCAGGAGATGCCTCTGCGGGTGGGGAGTTCTGGACTTAAGGCACATCAGACGGGAACGTGTTTGCCCTAAGCTCCTTGACCAGGTGCTAGAGCAGATTCTGGTGTGCGCCTTCTGCCTGTTCACACTGCCTGAGGGAAGGTGTGCACGCGACTTTCTATTCTCGTATCCTTCCAGGTTCGGAATGTCGTTCCCTTGTATTTACTGATTACTTGCATGTGTATACATCAGGGAGGACAGGTAGAGTTTTGTTAGGTGGGTGGATAACGCGGTGGTGAAGTCCGGGCTTTAGCGTGACTAACGCTGAGTAACACACACTGTACCTGACAGGTCATTTCGTCTCGCCTGTGCTTTCTTTTCCTTTATTTTTTTTTTTTTTGAGACACAGTTTCGCTCTCGTTGCCCAGGCTGGAGTGCAAGTGGCATCATGACAGCTCACTGCAACCTCCAACTCCCGGGTTCAAGCGATTCTCCTGCCTCAGCCTCCTGAGTAGCTGGGACTACAGGTGCCTACCACCACACCTGACTGAGTTTTGTATTTTTAGTAGAGACGGGGTTTCATTATGTTGGCCAGGGTGGTCTCTAGCTCCTGACCTCAGGTGATCTGCCTGCCTTAGCCTCCCAAAGTGCTGGGATTACAGACGTGAGCCACCGTGCCTGGCCCCAGGAGGTAATTTCTTATCCTTTGCCCTATTCCACCCTCCCACCCTTCAGAGTCTCCAAGATCTGTTATTCTACTCTCTGTCCATGTGGGCACATTATTAGCTATCACTTCTATAAGTAAGAACACTGGGATTTGACTTTCTGTTTCTGATTTCAATCAGGATGATGGCCTCCAGTTCCATCCATGTTGGTGGTGAACAGTGGATTTCCTTTTTCATGGCTGCATAGTATTCTACTGCATATAGATACTGTATTTTCTTACTTTTTTTTTCTTTTGTCCACTGTAGCAGATACTATATTTTCTTTATCCCTTCATCTGTCATTAGACAGCTAAGTGGTTTCGATATCTTGGCTCCTGTAAATCGTTCTGCAGTATACACAGGCATGCAGGTGTGTCTTTCACACACTGATTTCATTTGCTTTGAGTCCATGCTCAGTAGTGGGATTGCTGAATTATTTGCTGCTCTTATTTTTAATTATCTGGGGAACCTCCATAGTGTTTTTCATACTGGCTGTCCTAGTTGACATTCCCACCCATGGTGTACAGGGGCCCCCTTTTCTCTATACCCTCCCGACACTTATGATCAAGTATAAAAATCATCATTCTGGCCAAGCACCGTGGCTGACACCTGTCATTCCGGCACTTTGGGAGGCTGAGGCAGGCGGACCACCTGAGGTCGGGAGCTAGAGACCAGCCTGACCAACATAGTGAAACCCCGTCTCTACTGAAAATACAAAAAGTAGCCGGGTGTGGTGGCGGGCACCTGTAATCCCAGCTGCTCAGGAGGCAGGAGAATTGCTTGAACCCGGGAGGTGGAGCTTGCCGTGAGCTGAGATCGCACCATTGCACTCCAGCCTGGGTGACACAGGGAGACTCCATCTCAAAAACAAAACAAAAACAGAAATACCATTCTGACAATCTCCATTTGAATCGGTGTGAGATGAGAAGGTGGTTCTGATCTGCAGTTCCCTGATGGTTCGTGATGCTGAGTACCTTTTCATATAAACACCTTTGTACATACCTGTTGGGCCACACACATGCTAAGTACATTTCTGAGCAATGTCTGTGTGTGGTACCTTATGCTAAAAAAAAAAAATGCATGTCACCTCTTCGGCTATTCGAATTTGAGATGGTGTATTGAGAATTCCCGCAAAGCAGGGGATGGGTGTATTTGGATTCTTTGTTTATTTTTTTTTTCTTCCACATGATAAAATGTAATTGATTTGTTATTTTATTTTTTAATTTATTGATTATGCTTTAAGTTCTGGGGCACATGTGCAGAGTGTGCACGTTTGTTACATAGGTATACGCGTGCCGTGGTGGTTTGCTGCGTCCATCCCCCTGTCGTCTACATTAGGCATTTCTCCTAATGCTCTCCCTCCCCAATCCCTCCGCCCCCTGCTATCGCTCCCCTAGTCCCCCGGCAGGCCCTGGTGTGTGACGCTCCCCTCCCTGTGTCCATGTGCTCTCATTGTTCAACACCCACTTATGAGTGATTCTTTGTTTCTTTGTTTTTTGAGACAGAGTCTCACTGTCACCCAGGCTGGAGTACTGTGGTGTTACCTTGGCTCACTGCAACCTCGGCCTCCCAGGCTCAAGTGACTCTCCTGCCTCAGCCTCCCCAGTAGCTGGGAACACAGGTGTGTAGCCACACACTTGGCTAATTTTTGTAGAGTTGAGGTTTCGCCTTGTTGCCAAGGCTGGTCTTGAACTCCTGGGCTGAAGTGGCCGTCCATTCACCTCGGCCTCCCAAAGTGCTGAGATCACAGGTGTGAGCCACTGTGCGTGGCCTGTTTTGATTCTGTGTCATAAGCCGTGCGAGTGAAATGAACCCTGCCCAGAGCTGGGCCTGGTCACCGCCTTTGCAGACGTCTCCTCCTGGTCTACCTGAAGCTGCTGTGAAATACCTGTTTTCTCTGCCAAGGGCTGGGGTGTGTTGCAATGTCATGCCAGCATTGCAGGATCTATGATTTTCAGGAACACACACGTAGGGGTTTCCCCTCAGCCAGAGCCCAGCCCAGTGTACAATACCAGGAAGTTGCAGCAGGCTGGTGAGACATTTCCTTCTCATTAGGATCTCCCATGGGGCAAAAGGATTGGTTTCTGTGACAGGAAATACCATTCCCCGCCATGTTGGCCCTACGTCATTTGCAGCATTTCAAAGGAGTGGCATTTCCTCTCTCCTTTTTTTTTTTCGAGATGGAGTCTCGCTCTGTCGCCAGGCTGGAGTGCAGTGGTATGATCTCAGCTCATTGCAACATCTGCCTCCCGGGTTCAAGTGATCCTCCTGCCTCAGCCTCCCGAGTAGCTGAGACGTGTGCCATCATGCCCAGCTAATTTTTATTTTTATTTTTAGTAGACGGGGTTTCACTATGTTGGCCAGGATGGTCTCGATCTCCTGACCTCGTGATCTGCCCGCCTCGGCTTCCCAAAGTGCTGGGATTACAGGCATGAGCCACCGTGCCCTACCCGGAGTGGCATTTTCTAACACAGTGAATCCCAAAGTGCCTTCTTTGGGTCTGTAACATCAGCATTTCCAGACAGCAGATGAGAAATGCAACCTCCCCGGTACCACCTGTGAATCGGGGCCTCTGGGGGTGGGGGTGGGGGTGGGGCTTTGGCATCTCATTCTTCTGAGGCCATTAAAGGATTCCCAGCACCTTCGAGTGGCAGATTTACTGCTGTCCTAAATGCATTCAGCCATCAATATGGAGCCCAAAGAGAAGGTTCTGGAAACTGACCGATGAGGAATTCTCTTATCATGACTTTCTGCTTTTAATCTGAATGGCTTCAAAACTATCTAAAGAATACTTCACAAAAACTCACATACGTGATCCACCTAACCAAAATGATAGTCAAGAAATAATGATTTATAATCACTCATTAATTTTTTTTTTTTTTTTTTGAGACGGAGTTTTGCTCTTGTTACCCAGGCTGGAGTACAATGGCACAATCTCAGCTCACTGCAACCTCCGCCTCCTGGGTTCAGGCAATTCTCCTGCCTCAGCTTCCTGAGTAGCTGGGATTACAGGCATGCACCACCATGCCCAGCTAATGTTTTGTATTTTTAGTAGAGACGGGGTTTCACCATGTTGACCAGGATGGTCTCGATCTCTTGACCTCGTGATCCACCCGCCTCAGCCTCCCAAAGTGCTGGGATTACAGGCGTGAGCCACCGCACCTGGCCACATTAATTTTATTAGATCCCAAAATGTTTCAGATTTGCACAACATAAATTTTGACCAATAACTTTTATTTTTTTTTGAAACTGTCTCAAAATAAATATATATGTATTTTGGTCTGGGATATATATATATATATATATATGGAAAAAATATATTTTATATATTTTGAAACTCTCAAAATATATATTTATATCTATATATATTTATATATATCAAAATATATATATTTCAAGTTTTCTATATTATATATAATATATATTTTGAGAGATATAATATATATTATATACATATTTATATATTGTATATATATTTATGTAATATGTATATTTTATATATATTATATATATTGCATATATATTTATATTATATATATTTTTATATATTATATATTTATATATACTATATTTTTATATAGTATATATATGTATTTATGTACATATATCTATATATTATATATATTTATATATGTGTGTGTGTGTGTGTGTGTATATATATATGTATATATTTATATATATTTTTTGAGACAGAGTCTCACTCTTGTTACCCAGGCTGGAGTGCAGTGTGGCATGATCTCGGCTCACTGCAACCTCCGCCTGCCAGGTTCAAGTGATTCTCCTGCCTCAGCCTCCCAAGTAGCTTGGATTACGGACTCACACCACCACGCCCAGCTGATTTTTTGTATTTTTAGTAGAAATGGGGTTTTGCCAGGTTAGCCAGGCTGGTCGGGAATTCTTGCTGTCAGCTGAACCACCTGCCTCGGCCTCCCAAATTGCTGGGGTGACAGGTGTGAGCCACTGAGTCTGGCCACAGCAAACAAATGATTGCTGTGTTTTTGGA